GACTGTTTGAGGTTGTGGACAGGTGTCTTTTATACTGATAACAAGTTCAAACAGGTGCCATTGATACAGGTAATGAGTGCAGGACAGAGGAGCCTCTTAAAGAAGAAGGTCCAGGTCTGTGAGAGCCAGAAATCTTGCTTGTTTGTAGGTGACCAAATACTTATTTTCCACCATAATTTGCAAATAAATTCTTTCCAGATCAGCCAATGAGATTGTCTGGATTTGTTTTCTCATTTTGTCTCTCATAGTTGAGGTCTCCCTATGATGCCAATTACAGGCCTCTCTCATCTTTGTAAGTGGGAGAACTTGTACAATTGGTGGTGATTAAATACTTTTTTGCCCCACTGTACATAGTTTGTTGCCATTGCACAGGCATGCGCAATTTTAAAGTATATGATGTTTGGTATCTATTTATTCAGCTAACATCATCTTTTGTATTTTATTTAAAAATTGTTCAATATACTGTGCATTAAGATTAAAATCTTTTTCCAAAAAAGTAGCGTTTAAAAAATTGCTGCGCAAATACTGTGTGATGTAAACAAATGGCAACACCCACCGTTTTATTTTTTTAGGGCCTCTGCTTTAAAAAAAAAAAATAATCATGTTTGGGGGTTCAAAGTAATTTTCTAGCAAAAAAAACGTTTTTTCATGTAAACAAAAGTGTTGGAAAAGGCTTGGTATTCCAGTGGTTAGACGAGTGGGTGATGTTTGGCAGACGCGTCTAATTTTGGCCCTGAAATACCAGGATAGTAGAAGCAGCCTCCCCCCCAAATGACCCCTTTTTGGAAAGTAGACATTCCAATGCATTCACTAAGAGGCATGGGGAGTATTTTACAGATCTCATTTGTTTCCACAAGTTTTTTGGAAAATGAAGAAAGAAAACAAAAATGTATTTTTTCTTTTCTTTTTTTCCTTTTTCAAACCCTGTGACAAAAATGAAGTCTGTAAAATACTCACCATGCCTCTTACCAAATTCCTTGGGGTGTCTACTTTCCAAAAAAGGGGTCATTTGGGGGGGAGGGGCTTCTACTATCCTGGCATTTTAGGGCCTCTGAAACTGTGAGAGGTGGTGAGGAAAGGATATGAGGAAATATGCCCATTGCGGGTGCAATGCTGCCCAGGCTCCTGCAACCAAAAATAATACATTCACTTTTTTTTCTGCAAAACTATCAGAACTTAATATTTTTTCTGCAAAGGTGAACTTATCCTTTAAATGTCAATTGTCTTCGTTTCTAATAGGTGTTTCAGTCATATTTCAGGTTGTCAGTAAAAAATGTGCCCTGACTGGAATGTTTCCATGTTTTCTCTTTTGAAAAAGTTGCAACGGGTTGACAACTCTACGTGTATAATTGTAGAAGGGCGGAGTCACGATGCAGCCGAAAAAAGCATAACTTTTAGAGAATAAAGTTTCCTTTTTCTGGTTTTCATGAACATTCTTCCGTGGTCCATCCACGAGAAGGATCCTTTACCCTGAGCACTGCGGGGATTACAGCAACTGCTGCAGCACCAGTGATCTGCAACACAGACCGGCCGACTCCATTAACCCCGACGTGGCCTTCTAGGTAAGTCTGCTGACAGCTGATTGTTATCCCGCTCTATATCCAATGTGCTTCGAAAAATGACTATAACCATTTGAAGAGCCGCCATTTTCTGGGACGTTTTGTTTACAAGTTTAAATCCATATTTTTTTGCTAGAAATTTACTTATAATCTCCAAACATTATTATATTATGTATGTGTATATATCAACATACAGTATCTCATGGAAGTGAGTCCACCCCTCCCCCAGACTGTATACTATATATATATATATATATATATATATATATATATATATATATCCAGTACCTCATGGAAGTGAGTCCACCCCTCCCCCAGACTGTATACAATATATATATATATCCAGTATCTCTCAGAAGTGAGTCCCCCCTCACATTTTTGTAAATATTTGATTCTCTCTTTCCATGTGACAACACTGAAGAAATGACACTTTGCTACAATGTGACGTAGTCAATGTACAGCTGGTATAACATGACATGTAAATTTTTTGTCCCCTCAAAATAACTCAACACACCGCCATTAATGTCTAAACCAGCACATTTACATATACAAGCTGTATAGAGTCGATTCATCAGAAAATGTTTAGTGAGAACAGCTTTGGATACAAGTTTCATAGCTTCAGTATAAACTGGTCACTGCAACGACCAATATTCAGTTTTGAAAGTCTTAGGTTGTCAGTTCTGACATCTTAGTCTTCACACACGTTTTCCTTTCATGGCAGGTTCCCATATAACTGGGAATGTCTTATAACTAGAAAAGTGCTGGAGTTAAAGGGGAACTATCAAGATAGAAACAGGGGCAGACTGACCATTGGGGAACTCGGGCAGTGCCCGAGGGCCCGGGGTCAGTAGGGGGACCCATGAGATATCCCTGGTACCTTTCATATGCTTTTTTGGGTGTGGTTTGAGTGTGGGCGAGGACATGGGGCCCCATGATCCCCTATTGCCCGGGGGCCCCATGAGTTGTCAGTCTGCCCCATGGATAGAAAGAAGGTAGACTCCTGGGGTCATCATCCTGATACTGGTTTCCCTACGTACTGAGCCACTGACCTTCTACAGGTATGAAGGACGGAATTCTGATATCTTGGTCCTTGCTGAGAATTGATAAAGGCTCCTTCCCCATTCTCTATTATAGACCACCAAGCCTAACTTTGGCCCAGTAGTTTTTATTTTTAAGAGCAATTCTGTGCAATAAGGAAATGCAATGAGTGAGCTAGTTGTGGTATTAAATAAACACTGCAACTTTAGCTTGCTATGGAGGCACCTGCTGCTCCGTGTGTCCATTCCGTGACTCAGCCCTGCCCCCCTATATTCTCATTGGCTCACTGGCTGTGGTTGATGGTGGTGGGAGACAATGGCTCCCACTTCTGTCTCAGCCGGCGAGAAGGGGAGTCCTGGGATAGCCGAGACTCCAGTGAACATTGTTGGATAGAGGAGGCTTAGGTGAGTATTAGGGTGGATGCTGCACACAGAAGGTTTTTTACCTTCATGCATAGAACGTATAGAACGTATGAAGGTATAAAACCTGGAGCCTTTAGAACCACTTTAATATGCATCTGTATAAAAGCCTGTAAGAATATTTCAGGGAGCACCTCACAGGGTTAGTTGTAGGGCAGCAGGATTGTAGATCCTTGGTCTGTGCTGTGTAATTTCCTCTATCACCAATCAGTGTGATGTGTGTGAATCTGATTGGTGGTTGAGACCATCAGGCTTTCTGTATGTGGAATTCAACATGGAGTCTGCAGAGGGAGTTCATGCGTCACAAGAAGCGCATTCAAGGATCACCTGATTACTAAACAAAAAGGACTGTGGAAGATGAAGTCAAGAACAAAAAACAAACAAGCAATTCCCAGCATGCACCTTATCCATCAGCAAAGAACGCCGGACTAATCTACTTCTCTTTCATCATAGGGTCCTTCATTGTACAAATTTACAAATGTATGTTTAGACTACAAAGGCATTCCAGTTACATGTGATTCTACTTCATGTAGGTCTCAGCAGTGGGACATACACTCACCGGCCACTTTATTAGATACAATTGCTTGGTAACACAAATTGCTAATCAGCCAATCACATGGCAGCAACTCAATGCATTTAGGCATCTAGATGTAGTGAAGACGACTTGCTGAAGTTCAAACCGAGCATCAGAATGGGGAAGAAATGGGATTTACGTGACTTTGAATGTGACATGGTTGTTAATTCCAGACGGGCCGGTCTGAGTATTTCAAAAACTGCTGATCTACTGGGATTTTCACACACAACCATCTCTAGGGTTTACAGAGAATGGTCCAAAAAAGAGAAAATATCCAGTGAGCAGCAGTTGTGTGGAGGAGAATGCCTTGTTGAGGTCAGAGGAGAATGCGCAGACTGGTTGCTGTGACATTCGGATGGTAGGGTCAGAATTTGGCATAAACAACATGGAAGCATGGATCCATCCTGCCTTGTATGATGGGTTCAGGCTGGTGGTGTCATGGTGTGGCAGGAATTTTCTTGGCACTAGCAAGGTGGACATAATAAAATGGCTGGTGAGTGTATACTGTATACATGAATTGATTTAAGGACAAACTTACCTGAGAGTCAATCACTTATCTTCCCATATGAGAGCAGTTTTGCTGATTGGTCCTCCACTGTCATGGGGGCAGGGATGGGGAGAGACCTCAGCCCTCTGTAAGCTCTGACTAGATTGACTCAAAGCTTACACAAGGTTTCCTTTTCTTAGTTCTCAGCAACCATATACAGAGTGATAGAGGAGCAAAAGGTAAGGTACATATGTGATATTTGGGAGAGTGGACGTGAGGTTTACTTGTTGATCTGCCCCAAATGACACAGGACAGGTTCACTTTAAACTGATAAAGCAGCTGCCTAGTACAGCGATGACTGAGTCAGCACAAGATGGGGGACACAACTGTGATCGACTGACACCTGACTGTGGAAGAATGTCATGTTTATGTAATGTATGTCCTGTAAGAACAGCCAATCATGAATTCATATTTTTCTGATTTCAGCAATGTCCAAAGGTCCATGAAAGAGAAAGTCTTTAATATTCTCGCAGATTATCTCTCCCTCTTCTGTGGTCAGCGATGGCGTCTGCTGCTCTGAGAACTGAGCTGGAATGTTTCCTCTGTAAGAACATTTTTGCAGATCCTGTAATGCTGAGATGTGGACACAACTTCTGCCGGGACTGTATTGACCGTGTGCTGGATACACAGGAGGGGTCTGGAGGATATTCCTGTCCTGAATGCAAAACAAAGTTCAGGGGTCGTCCTGCACTGCAGAGGAACAAGAAACTGCGAAACATAGCGGAGAGTTTCCAGTATTCTCTGCCAGATCAGAAGAAGTCCAGAGTCTTCTGCAAGGTGGGAAAAAACTGAACGTGGCTTCTGGGAAGAAGAAGAAGAAGAATAAACTGAGGAATGTTCTGCATAAACTTCTGACACAGAGAGAGGAGATGGAGAAAAGAGTCCAGAGTCTGCAGGAACACAGGAGGAAAGTAGAAGAAGAAGCAGTTGGTGACACCAAGAGAGTCATTGCCCTGTTTAAAGATCTCAGGAGGTGGCTGGAAGACCTGGAGAAGAGAGTCCTGAGGGACATCTCCGGGAGGGCAGAGCGGGTCTCCATCTTCATCCGGGATCTGGAAATAAAGAAGGAGGATCTGTCCAGGAAGATGCGTGACATTGAGGAGATGTGTAACATGACGGATCCACTGACTGTCCTACAGGAATCAGACACAGGTGACTTGTGTGATACTGAGGATGGAGATAATGAGGACAGAGAGAGACATGAGGAACTCCTCCATGATGGAGGGGGGCTGGATATGGCTGGAATCTTAAAAGAGGTAAATATAGCCTTCTATATACAGAAACCTGCAGACATATTACTGGATGTGAACACAGCTGGCAATAAGCTACATATATCAGTTGACGGGAAAACTGCATCCTGGTCAGATAGAAACCAGAATCGCCCAGAAACACCAGAGAGACTTACAGATCATCTTCAGGTATTGAGCAGGCAACGTTTCTCATCAGGTCAACACTACTGGGAAGTGAATGTGGAGGGATCAGATTGGTGGAGAGTTGGAATGTGTTACCCCAGTATGGACAGGAAAGTTTTGCAGGCAGGATTAGGAAGGAATGACAAGTCCTGGGGTTTGCTGAGGTCTAGAAATCAGTATTCTGTGAGACATGACGGTAAAGAGATCCCCTTATCTACAAACATCCCCAGTACCAGAGTCAGGATATATCTGGATTATGAGGCCGGCCGGATCTCCTTCTATGACCTGTGTGACCCAATCCGACACCTCCACACCTTCACCACCACCTTCACTGAGCCCCTCCATGCTGGGGTAGGTGTAGTGAGAGGTTGTATAAAGATCTGTGGGGGAAAGTACTGAGATGTGAGAACTCCACCCAGAAACTGGTGACATCACAGGAACGGAGGATAGAATTGTTAATTGTAGAGCCAATACTTGAAGATAGTGATAACTTTCACCACTTCCTGTCCAGCCCATGTACATAAACGGACGGAAGGGAGCAGTGCGAAGCGGGTTACCATTTATAAATAGCCCCCGTATTAACTGCCTGTGCGCGCTCCCTAGGAGGACACAGCGGAACACCAATCACTGTACGGGACCTCTGTGTGAGGTTTCGATTCATGTGTTCACTGATTGGCCAATCAGTGATCACATCAATAGTAGCAAACACAATGTCACTTCTGACATCATTGCTTACTACGTGTGAAATCTGTGAATGATCACAGAGATCACATGGTACTGGACTATTCACAACAGCCTTGTACCATGTGACAAGCTGTGACCAATCACAGCTCTCACAGTATTTCTCAACGGCTGCAGGAATGAAGCCAGAGAGAAGGAGAAATCATTGCAATCAGTGTAAAAAAAAGAAGAAGAAAAAATCTTCATCACCCCCCACAAGTAGTACAGTGTCACTATGGTGCCACTACTGCTAGGGTGACGATATGTTAACAATAAAAAAATAATAATATTTTTTTTAAAATATGAAAAAAATTATAATTTTTGGTTATAAAACTAATTTGGGTTATTTTTTTTTTAATTAAAAAAAATATAACTGAATACATTGTGGCTAAGATTTATGAAGAAAAATTATTCATTTGCAAAATGTTATAAGAAAAAACACTTTTTTAAAACATTTTTGGACATTTTCATTTATATAGCAAAAAAAAAATACAAATCCAAGCGGTGAACAAGTACCACCAAAATAAAGCTTTATCTGTCTCAAAAAAAGCTAAAACATTCATATGGGTACAGTGTTGCATGACCGCGCAATTGTCATTCAAAGTGTGATAGGGCTGAAAGCTGAAAATTGGCCTGGACAGGAAGGGGGGGGGGGGGGGGGGGAGGGGTGTCCGGACTGGAAGGTGTTAAATATCACAATTCATTAAATAGACACGATCATAACTACAGAGTATGCCTGACTTTCCAAGAACAGTCACCAGATTTAGAGATTTGTCTCTGGAAATGACTATAATCAGATTCACAATTACGTTTATTTTTATTAATATATTTGCAAAATTATCCATTTTTATTATCTATTAGTAAGTACAGTTTTAGTGCAACAATAAAAGGTGATGGATCTTTTGTTCTTCATTGTTCTGTATTTTTCGGTGTATGTATGTAATCGATGCTCGAACATTACAAGCGCACAGTGTAAGAGGACTTTCTGCACATCACCTTCCATCGAACGCCAGCAAGATCTCATGTGCCAGATGCCATTTTCATACAGACATATTCATGAGCCACAAGATGGGATCGCTGATCAGTTTGGACAGATTTAGTCTGTTAAGGTGGGAATACACGACTAGAAAATCGACCGATCGGTCATCCGACCACCGAGAGGCGTTCGTTGTTTGGTCAAAATCGTGGCCCACATTAACCAATCTAAAAAAATTGTTCATCGGGGAATACGTAGTGTTGATGCCTTCTGTACAAGTGGAAGTGATGTGGTGTGCATGTGACCTTGTAGCCACGCCCTTCCGACCAGAGCGAGCGATATACACAACAATTACCAGCAATGAGTATAATATAATTTATCACATGATCTGTATACATAATGAGTGATACATAATATATAATCTGCAGAATTCTGGCTTCATGATCTCATTAGGCCGATCTACTTTTAACATTTGGATTTTTTGTTTGTGTTTAAAAAGATTCCTCGGACATAAACATCCGGGTCATCTTCTGCTTTCGATCATGCATGATATTGCTCCCGCATTCACTAAATCCGCTCCCCCCGGGCCCCGCATTCACTGTATCTGCTCTCCCCGGACCCCGCATTCACTAAATCCGCTCCCCCCGGACCCCGCATTCACTGTATCCGCTCTCCCCGGACCCCGCATTCACTGTATCCGCTCTCCCCGGACCCCGCATTCACTATATCCGCTCTCCCCGGACCCCGCATTCACTAAATCCGCTCCCCCCGGACCCCGCATTCACTGTATCCGCTCTCCCCGGACCCCGCATTCACTGTATCCGCTCTCCCCGGACCCCGCATTCACTGTATCCGCTCTCCCCGGACCCCGCATTCACTGTATCCGCTCTCCCCGGACCCCGCATTCACTGTATCCGCTCTCCCCGGACCCCGCATTCACTATATCCGCTCTCCCCGGACCCCGCATTCACTATATCCGCTCTCCCCGGACCCCGCATTCACTATATCCGCTCTCCCCGGACCCCGCATTCACTGTATCCGCTCTCCCCGGACCCCGCATTCACTGTATCCGCTCTCCCCGGACCCCGCATTCACTGTATCCGCTCTCCCCGGACCCCGCATTCACTATATCCGCTCTCCCCGGACCCCGCATTCACTGTATCCGCTCTCCCCGGACCCCGCATTCGCTATATCCGCTCTCGCCGGACCCCGCAGTCGCTATATCCGCTCCGCTCTCCCCGGACCCCGCACTCGCTATATCCGCTCTCCCAGGACCCCGCATTCACTATATCCGCTCTCCCCGGACCCCGCATTCACTATATCCGCTTTCCCCGGACCCCGCATTCACTATATCCGCTCTCCCCGGACCCCGCATTCACTATATCCGCTCTCCCCGGACCCCGCATTCACTATATCCGCTCTCTCCGGACCCCTCATTCACTATATCCGCTCTCCCCGGACCCCGCATTCACTGTATCCGCTCTCCCCGGACCCCGCATTCACTGTATCCGCTCTCCCCGGACCCCGCATTCACTACATCCGCTCTCCCCGGACCCCGCACTCACTGTATCCGGTCTCCCCGGACCCCGCATTAACTGTATCCGCTCTCCCCGGACCCCGCATTAACTGTATCCCCTCTCCCAGGACCCCGCATTCACTATATCCGCTCTCCCCGGACCCCGCATTCACTATATCCGCTCTCCCGGACACGGCATTCACTATATCCGCTCTCTCCGGACCCCTCATTCACTATATCCGCTCTCCCCGGACCCCGCATTCACTGTATCCGCTCTCCCCGGACCCCGCATTCACTGTATCCGCTCTCCCCGGACCCCGCATTCACTATATCCGCTCTCTCCGGACCCCTCATTCACTATATCCGCTCTCCCCGGACCCCGCATTTACTATATCCACTCTCCCCAGACCCCGCATTCACTATATCCGCTCTCCCCGGACCCCGCATTCACTATATCCGCTCTCCCACAGAACATGGAATTTTTTAAATAAATATAAACTGCTAAATACATTTCCTCATCAGCAGTATATAGCAGTCTTGTGACTTCTATCAGTATCCAGCTGAGTACTGGTTAAAGCTTGTAGGAGGAGTTTTCATTCTCCTCTCACTGCCCTATGAGATTGCAGGACCCCTGACCCTCTGTCTGGAGAGTGCTGATTGGTCCTGTGCTGATAACATGCACCCTCCCAGGAAAAAGAAAAAAACTCTCTATCAATACACCAAACTGAGCATGTGCAGAGTGCCCCCCAATGCTGTGTTATATCAGGAGATGAAATGGGGACTGCAGAAGAAATGGACGATCAGAGAAGACAGGATCAAACATCCTTATACCACAATGCAGAGCATTAACCCCTTCGGTTCCACAGTGAGTATAACAAGCATGCTGTACTGCATCTACAGACTGATTGTACTGTTGGGGGTTTAGGAACACTTTAAGTCCCGTCCATGATGGTATTGGGTCTGAGGAGTGATGTAAGCCTCCCATGACTTCTAATTAAGCCCCATTGCCATCTCATAAGCCTTCTAGCAGAGTATCTGACAGGCTGTAAGCTAGGCTCACTATAATTGGGGGTCATGAACCTCCAGAGCCAGAGACTTTAAGGAAGCCCTGTTGTAAAATATCCATGGAAACATCCCTTGGTCTGGTGTAGCTGATCATAAATCTTCCCTGTAGGTAAAAGGAGTATCTCCTAAATGTGCATATGTATGAGGAACAATGAGGAACGACCTGTAGTGTGCATGCAAGCAGCTCACCTTAATCTGGCCTTGTGTCCCCCAAGGTGGTGGAGAGTGGTCCTCGTGTCCCCCAAGTCGGTGGAGAGCGGGCCTCGTGTCCCCCAAGGCAGTGGAGAGCGGGCCACTCCTTGTGTCCCCCAAGGCGGTCGAGTGCAGGCCACTCCTTGTGTCACCCAAGGCGGTCGAGTGCAGGCCACTCCTTGTGTCACCCAAGGCAGCGAAGAAGAAACTGTAAGCTGAAAACCGGAAGTCAGAAACCAGAAGTTGGCTTCACAACAAGGCTTGGAGCACAAGTGTAACGGAAATCGATCCCCGGGGCCTGGAGATCGCATTGCAAGCCACCCGCTCCATTGCAAGCCACCCGCTCCGTCTGTGCTCCCCACAAAGGGATTTCCCCTCGCATTTGGCGAGCAGATATTTCAAGCCCTGTATTAGTGATTATGTCACAAGGAATATATTTTCCTCTTGAAATTTCTTGTAACTGTGAAAAGCAACATAGAGGATATTTGTGGTTTCTGCTCAGACTGTCACCTGCTAAATTACGACAGACCCTTGTGACAGGAAATGTGGGGGAGGAGTCAGAGCTTAGCTCAACTCTGCAAACTAAAACCTTACATATTTAAGGGAAACTCTGCACTAGCTGGGTGCTACCACATTGGTTCATATTAAAGGGGTACTCTTCCATTACTGCCTCAATATCAGTGCCCATCAGAGCTGCCTTTCAGTGCCAACCATAATTGCCAGTCAGCTCCACCTATCAGTGCCAGTCAGTGATGCCTGTCTGTGCCAGTCAGTACTGCCTAACAGTGCCCATCAGTGCTACCTATCAGTGCCCATCACTGCCACCTAATAGTTCCAAGTAATAGCACCAATCGGTGCCACCTA